AAGTACATAGATAACTTTACGCTGCACTGTTTAAGCTTAATTGGATGAGCACTGGTCTGCTGGCTGTGGGAGGTTAGAGGTTCAGACCTAGCCTGTGAGCAAGCTCTCCATTTGGGAAGTCGCAAGAAGCCATACAAGAGCAGCCAAGAGGAGATGCGAGTGGGAAGGGCAGGGAAAAAAGGGAGAGCTTGCAACAATCTCCCATAAATTTTCATTCCACTCTGGAAACCGCAAAGCATTAGAACAATCACCAGAAACAAGAAATGTGTCAGCCATTTGTCAGGTACCCGCATGGGGCCAAGCTGAATGCGCCAGAGTTACTCAAGCGTTGTCAGCATGCTAGAGCATCCGGATTAACTAGAGCCAAAAAAAAGCAATACTCTCACAGGCTATAGCGTTATCCTTTCCAGGAGCAAAATATTACAATTTCACAAGAAAAAACACGACTACTAACAGAAGGCAATTGGTGTGGACCTTCTAGATAGGATCCTAGCCTACACAGCTGAGTCAGATCTACAATATTCCTTGAATTCAGTGGAAGCATGTTGCTTCGAAGCCACTACATTATGTTTAAACTTCGGCGTCATCAATCAAAATTAATTGGCGGTGCATCATTTTTCAGCCAATAGTATTTCGCTTCATCTGGGCGAAGCAGAAATGAAAATGTAAAAGAGATCGTTGCAAGCTTTCCTTTCCCCTGCCCCATGTGGCTTTGCCTCTTGCGCGCACTTTCTCTTGCAACTTGCTTTGCTTGCCATACTTGCTAGAAGGCTAAATCAGACCAGGCTGGACCAATGCTCAGGGTCTTTAAATGACTAATTAAATTAATTTGAAACTAATTTACTGATGAGAAAATGCTGCTTCTGTAGTGAGATCTAAAAACGGCTAACTTTCTAGTCTTCCCGGAGAAGGATGATAAACCACTGCTCCTGTCTAGCTTGTGTAAAATATGTGGAATGTTAATGAACCCACAGTATATTTTGTAAAGCATTGCAATACTTTTAAACAGGAATACTTAATAAAGGCCATAATTTTTTTTTTAATAAAAATGGTAGCACAAAAGAGCAGTGTATTTTTGTCACTTTGCCCTGAGCTTGATACTGGAAAGTATTGCCTGGATAGTATACTACCACAAACTATTATTTTAAAAATTACCTTCAGTATTGTCTTTTTTTAAGACAAACACAGAATGTGAGTTGGATGCTATGGACCACAGTGGTTGTACTCCTTTGCATCATGCTTGTATAAATGCACCAGATGGTCACAGATCTGTTAAGGTATCACAATCTAGAGAGTAGTTTTGTCTGCAAAATGCCATCCCATGGATATTTTATGTGGATGTCATTAATTTGATTAGCCTCCCATATAAGAGGAGCTGGGAGTGCGACACTCCAGCGTGCAAAGAAAGTCATGTCCGATAGCCCGGGGCTAGTGGATTTTGCTATTGGGCTAGTGATTTTTGTTCTTAACTTGCCCGACAGGCAAGTGCTGTTTTTTTGGGAAATTCAAATTACAGAAGGATTGTAATCAATCCTGCTAATCAAAAAGGGTTTAGGGCTAGTACATGCTAAGCTTCAGCTTGCCCGAATGGCAGGCTGTAAAACTGACTTTCTTTGCACCCTGCTTCCCTAAATAAACCTGCAAAGGAGCTGGCTATCATTTAACACTGTTTCATATATCTTATGTTTGTTGCATTTTTATCTTTTCAATATTTGAAGCATTCATTGTAAGGGAGCTATCCTATTCTTGCTATGTTATTTTTGCAGAAGAACTTGTAATGGGTGCTTTTCTCAATACTTTAACATATTATTGTCAAGTCCTCTTGATTTGTCTGCATTTTTACCCCCTGGAATTGAAAATAATTTGTACATCTAATGGCAAGCTGGTGGTGACTGTGAAAGACCAGTTTCTGCAAGATATAAATATGCAGTTCTGAATGGAATGATCTTAAAATCTGTATATTTTGATCAATGCTTGTGCTTCCCTGTATCAAGGGGAAAAAAACTTCCTTCAAGCGTTAACTGATGAATCCAACACATCTAGGAATATAATGGTGATGACTTCAGGTTTCACTTTTTTTCCTATTTCAATTCCAAATCTTTGTACTTTGATATGTTTTCTATTTCTTTTAATGGCCTGGAAATTACAATAATTTATTACCACATAAGTAACATTTTCTTTGCTTTAGTATTAAAGTTTGCATAGCATCATGCTACTCATTACAGGTTGGAAAAGGGTCACTTAACAGATCATTGCATTGGCCGTATTGGTAGTGTCATTCTCTTTATTATTTTATTCAAGATGCTTGTCCAAAAGGGAGCAGCAGTAAATGTTTCATCAAGATACTGGAACCATGCCACTTCTTTACATTACTGTTCTCAACTTGGTAAATTAGAGAATATAAAACTCCTGCTGAATTATGGTGCAAATGTGTTCATTAAAGACAAGTGTGGACAAACAGCAAGAGAGAGAGCTCACAAACACCCAGAATGTGAAAAACTCCTGTGGGAAAAGGAAGGTGTGGCATTGTCCTGGAGGGCTTTTCAAAAGTTGGAACTGGCCAGACCAGTCATCTTGAAAATAAAACTTTTTTGAGAGTTTTTGTTGAAAACCAAACAATGCTATGCATAGTATTTAGAAATAGACTGATTTGGTTGGACGAATCTGGTTAACAATGGAATTCTCTATTGGAATGGGCAGGTCTGGCCGGTCACTTCTGACTATAAATCCCGGGGGGGGGGGTACTCCCATACATTACCTATACGGGTATGTGCCGCCCCCGGGGTCGTGATTTTGAAGCTCCTGATTTAGAACGGGGTATCTATTTCAGAGGTGGTCTACCTGTGCTAGATTAGCAGTAGGAGTAACTTTTTGCGGCAGTACTTTCCGCTGATTTTTTTCTTGCCAGATCATGGAAAAGACCTATGCGTAAAAATCGCAAAACTTATAACCCGCGACAATTTATTTCCACTTTCTTTCTTTCTTTTCCGTTTTTTTCTTTGCGTTGAAAGTACTGTATTAAAAAAAGTCTAGGTAAGTTTGATTTGTATCTCACTTTTTTATTCTGTTCCTTTTTCTGTTCAGGAAATCCGCCCAGCTTACTTCAGCTTTGCTGCTGGACAATAAGAGAAATTCTTGGAGCTAAAAGACTTAACAGAGTTCATGAACTACCCATACCATTGACATTACAGTATTCTATACTTTGACAACTGATTTTTACAACGACCATAACAACACTGTAAATACGTAGTGTAATCAGTGTGATTCAGAGTGTCATAGTTGAGTCGAGAAAAGTCTATAAATCAGCGGTCTGTCTAGTTTAACTCCATTCTCTATTTTCCAATTCCCCATAATACACTCTGTTTGCCCCCCAAATTTTGCATAAACCATTGTTTTTAAATGCTCCTGGGAGTATTGCATTTTCCCAAGAGCATTTTAAGACAATAAGTTATGCAAAATTTGGGGGGCAGACAGAGTGTATTATGGGGAATTGGAAAATAGTCAATGGACACTATCCAAGCACGCAGTATGTTTTTATTTGCTGAGTAGGTGTTGACTTGGTTGGTTTGTTCTAAGTGGTAAGTTCGCGTTACATTCAAGTCTCCCAAAATTAATTTGATTTTAGTTTCCCTACGCGACATGCAGTCATTGCCAATCCACAGTTATTTCGTAGCCAATTTTAACAACGAAAATACACATATTTGAAGTGCGCCATACAAGGAGGTGCCACGAAGAAAAACAGCTCAAACAGGCTCAATATTATTATGACATCTGCCCTAAGGGTTTCTAAGTTCTATAGCTTCTTAGTTGTATTAAATGAAAACAGAACTTCTGTCTTTGACTCTCAAACTTATAAGCTCGAATTGAAGACACTTTGACTGGTGGACAAATAAAAGTAAAAAAGAACAAAGAAAATAGCGAAAAAATAACTTCTGATTACTAGGCTATAAACAGTTAAAAATTAATAAACTGACTTACAAGAAAAACGAAAAACTGGTATAAAGACCTCAAACGTAGCAGCGAAAGGAGCAGAATTGAAATAGGAACACACCTTTGACCTGTCAAGAATTCATATGACAGGAGCGGAAGATGTTACACGGGATCGCAAGACTAGCGTTGCAACATTGTTGTGACATTGTTTTGATATGATACAACATTGTTCCATCATTGCAACGCTGTGTTGAGCTAAACTCGTCGTTGCGAATCGTCCTGTGTAACATCAAGAGGCTTTTTCCGCTTGCATGTTTTCATTTTAGACTACGTGATGGTACCCCAGAGAACTGTTTCTTTTAAATGCATCCAGGTCCATATGAATGCATAATTTATGAGCAGACAAAAGGCAAATTCCCCGGAGAACACATGTGCATGGTCTGAATTGGGCAAACAAAGCATACAAGCTGAAAAGATCTATTGCCGGAGAAACCCTTCCTACCCTTGGGAGTTGGATGCCATCGACCTTGCGATTCCGACTGTGGCTGTTGCTTTGTTTCTTATTAGTGGCGAATTTCGAAAGGTCCTTTAACTTTCCGATTGTTCTTCATTGCCCACAAATTTGATACCGTGTAAAACACAGGCGTGCGAGGGATGTTCAACGCTGCAATTTTGCGTCAAGTCGCGAGCCTTAGAATCAGTTTCAATAACTGGCATTTTAAAATGGAGCGCGCGCTGATTGTAAAATGCTGACCGTTACTTGTAAGACGCTCCAAATTTTTCTGGTGTCGAAAAATCATCTTCACCGTGGCTGAGTGTCCACGTGTTTCAAATCACCCGCGCACTCGTTTTCGTCTAAAAAAACGTTTTGATTTTATGTGTTTGTTTGTTTGTTTTTGTCTTGCTTTACAATTTTTTGCGCGCACGATGTGACATCGCGTATCGAAATCAAATCAACGGTCTCTAGATTTAAAAGAGTCTTGCGACAGTTAAAGGCTTTCCGTTTTGGCTATGTTTAAAATAGTGAAACGAAAATTTGTTCGTTGGTAAAGCATAAAACTGCTTTTGGTATGATGGACGACCAAAAACGGGCCAAATCTATGAACTTTATTAAGATCGGCAGAAGCAAATCTGACTCGAGTAATATCTCAGACAATTCATCATCTTTAAAGCTGCAATCACCACGAGGGATCAACGAGTGCGGGATGCATATGTCTGGAAGCACAGAAAAATTTAATTGTCAACAGAGAGAACCGCCATCACAACCTTTGAGCTCAGATGAAGTAAGAATAAAGATGAGCGTTGAAGACATTGCTCAAACGATCGCCAGTCGACTGGATGGACAAAACGAGAACAACGCGACATTCCTTTGTCTAGAGGGAATAATTACAGATGGCGAAAGTGATAGTTCAAGATGCAGTATATTTAGTAAAAAGAAATCGTACTGGAAAGCACGGATCAGTAAGATTGTTCAACAAGCACTGAAGATGTGTGGCTTAGCTGCCGTGGCGTCTATTGCAGTCCCATTGATTGCTGGTAAAAAAATTTTTAGTCGTAAGTCTTATTTTTGTAATTCTACATACATTTGGTTATTTCACTTAGTTTGATTTTCTTATCGATAAACTACTTTTTCAAAGTTTGTCCTTTTCGCACAAGGGTAAAACGTGTTTGACAAGTTTTGCCTTCGAAATGCGCATCTAAAAAATTTCGCCAAATCTTTCGTTTCCTGTCTTCAAACCAATTTAATCTGAAAAGATTTTTCATAGTGACATCCTGTATAAAACCTGACAAAAGTTAGGGGCCGAGCATATGACTTTTGAGGGGGGTATAGGTGATTTTGTTTGGGTAAGATTTTTTTTCCAAACCTATGTTGATAGAATTTTTTTCCTGACATACAACGGTGTTGGATTCTTTCCAGCATTATACGCCGTGAAAGATATTTTTTTTAAGCGTAGCAATTTTTTCCCCAGGAATTCCCATGCAAGGATATTTTCCCCTCGAAATCAGTCGGCTGGATATATATATATTTTTCTGAAATCACCCATCCATGCTCCCGCCCCTTAAAAGTCAATTGGTTGGCCCCTTACCCGTTTTTTCATGCGTCTACGTGACGAAATGTTTGAACATTTTAAGATGGAATCCATCAGGAAATTGAGTAATTTTAATTTTCTGCAGACAAAAACCTTGTACAAGAATAATTTAAAGCATATTGCATTCTTTTTTACATTTTCAAGGGTTATAGATGTAATAAGTTACATGTATCTGTAATAACACCAAAGAAAATTTCTTACGGGAACCCGAGAAAACACTGATGTCAAATATCACAAAATGACATCTTACACATGATTTTCAGAATTTTACCTGTGTTTTCACAATTCTTGTGAAATTTGACATTTATTTTCTCGGGCTTCCATGAAACATTATCTGTGATGTTATGACAGATAACTAATACCCAGTCCACACGTATTCGGACATTTTTTAATCCGCAAATTTTTCTTTGCTGATTCAAAAATTTCCGCTTCCACAATTATCCGCATTCAAATCAAATTTGCCCGTCCACACGTATCCGGATTCACTCTAGTACCCAGTATTCCTCTCGGAATATTGGCAACAGACGCATGCGTCGTAAAGAGGGGTAAGAGAGAGAACCTAGGAACGAGGTTGCCATCTTGAATACAGTATTCACGGTAAAGATCTGGGCTCCATCTTGTTACGTCACCGGATAAAAAATATCCGGATCTAGCGTCTGCACGATTCCGGATTCATAGCGTATTCAAAAAATTCCACTCTGGGGATGTAATTCGAAAAGTTGCGGATTCGTATGGCCGATTCACTGGATACCTGTGGAAGGAAGCCGTATCCGGAAAGAAAAAGTTGCGGATTCAAAAATATCGGGTTACGTGTGAACGGGGCTTAATTATATTTACAGCCCTTGAAAAGTGTAACAAAAACAAAAAAAAAGACTGCGATATAGTTTAAATTATTCAGGTAAAGGGTTTTTGACCACTGAAAAATGAATTGAAACTGCTCAATTTGCGGGTGGATTCCGTCTTAAGGTTTTTTAACGAGTCGAAGTTGAGGTTGAGGTCTCTTTGAGGTTTCCAAGAAAACCGGGTAGACTAGAAATCCCGCGCCTTCCTCAAAAAAAATATTTAATGGTCTTGTTTTTAAAAAGTCAACCAAAAGAATTACTAAACTAATTTTTTCTGCTTAGGTCTTGGCACGGATTGCACAGTCCGCCCAGTCTCAGTTTTATCAGGACTGATAAGACGGGGGATTAAAAATTTAAAAAAAAGTGTTCATGAAATATTGTTTCTTTTAGGTGGTGGTGTGCTGACCATCGTTGTTGCTGGTGTAGCTGGTATTGTTAGTGTCCCTGTACTTTACGGTCTAAACAAGTATCGACGAGACGTACGCTTAGATCGAGACCCATATCCTTATTCTTTTGTCGTGGAAGAAATTTTCAAACTGTGTCAATCTCTCGCTACAAAACTTGCGGTTGCTAGATTCCTGAGAAAAGACTGTGGCTTGGAATGCGACATTGGTCGTAAGGTCCCTGATGAAGAGGAAGCTAGGGATTTGGACGCGGATGGAAGCAGTTCAAACGATACTTATACTCAGTCCTTTTCCGAGTGCGAAAATGGCAGCAGAGATGACCTCTCCGGTCACTTTTCTTCGGAGAATGTCAGTGAGACAGATAATTATGTTCAGACAGTTGTTTTGAAGGACGAAATTAATACAACAATAGCCAAAGACATCGGCAATCAGAGAAAGTTAGACGTCTTCATAAGCAATGCCAACGAGACTCCGCCTTACTCATGTTCTGAAAGAAAAGAACTGGACTCTCCAACCAGTAATGTCGTCAAGGTAACAATAAATTCTTTAACCTTTGATGAGACAAGTGTTAAACACAACACTCCTGTGGAGCTTTCTTCTGAGAAGGAACCTCATGAAGAAAGACAAGCAGATAACGTGAGAGAATGTGAAGACCAGGGTGATTCAGGAACAGAACAGCAAACAAGAGATCATGCTGACGAGCCAAATTTCAGTCTGCCGTTATCTAACCAGGTAGCTGGTCACTTTGAGGTCTCACAAGATAAGAGTTGTAACAATGAAATGCCAGCTTTATCAGAAATGGAACTGCTGATTGAGGACTCAAGTATGGAAGATGAAGATTGTAGTGAAGTTGATGAGAAGGAATCTGGCAGTGAGACATCGTCAAAGGTGGCAGACAGAAGGCAAGCTCTTTCTGATGAAGAAGACTTGTATGGTCGCCGAGATGTGCAGTCTATTGTACCGAGAAAATCAACCTCCGATACTTTTTGCTGTGTTAGAGAACCTAACGTTGCAAATGATAAATTTGTTAGATTTAGTCGTCATAATCATTACGAGGTAGACACAAACCAAAACTGGGGTTTATTGGAGCCAGGGGGGAACAATGAAGTTAAAACAAATATTCGGATTCAGATTCAGAGAGATGAGAAAGGCGAAACCGATGATCATTTTCATGATGGAGAGGAAATGCCTTCTGATAAAGAAACAAAAAGGGGAAGACGTCGCCGCAAACGAAGAAACAATAAGCGAGTCACAACTGCCAATCGTCAAGATTTAACGACAGGTGAAGTAAGTGACGAACTGGGTAAGAATAAACAAGAGCAATTAAATTCCAATGTCAGCAAGAAAACTACAATTGTGCAAAATACCTCTCAAAATGCAGGAGAACTACAAGGCAAAACAACAATGCCCAAAAAAGGTAAACAAGCCGCAAAGACAGTAGCTACCCCCAATGAAAACGAAACTAAGATCGCAGAGGGATTAGCAGAGAAAAGGTCAAGAAAAAAGAAAGACAAAACTAAAAAGGACCCGACCGTGAAACATGAACTTCAGCCTAACACAACAAAGTTAAATATTTTTGGTTTATCGACTACGAAAAATGCTGACGTTTCCAATAGCCTCCACCAGGAAGAGAAACTACAGGCCGGTGACAACAACAGTGGTGGTGGATCCCTGTGACGAAGATTATGTCCAACAAGCAAGATAAACACGAGGATGACGAAGAAAAGGATGCTGTAGCACTTTACGATGATATAGATTAGTGATGTAGCAAGAGAACCGACCGACAAACAACAAAAAAAATTCATTTTTTAATTTTAAGTTTGCCTGAAATCTACTGTAGGCTCTTAGCCCTGTTTTAAATAAAACTTTTTATGTTTCACATTTTTTTTAGTTTATGTAAAATTTATACCCCTATCAATTGTCAGGGCGTCATCATGAAACCTGGAAAAATGTTGGTCTGGTCAAATATTTTAAGACTTAAAAGAGCGATCACTTTTATCGTCATCTGTTTCGTTTTAAATCACGATTTCTAGTTAGACTGCTTTCTTTAAATACCCAAGATGATATATTTTTTTTCTGGTACTTCCATGTAGTTTTCAGATCTTTTGAACTAAATCACCAAGCTAATTGACCAAGCGTGAGGTCAGCTTAGCTGAATATTCGCCAAGTTTATTTGTTTTGTTTGTTTGCTTTTTTATATAGGCCGAGGCGAAGTCGATGTCAATAAAAGCGCAAAAAAAAAAAGAACGAGGCTTTGAACACCCAGCTGTCACTTGACCGAACAATCTTGGTTACTAAAGGATTTATTATATGGCAAAGAGAACTTGCAGGGCCAACGCGAGAAATCCGGAGCAGGTGAGCCTGCCGGCAGGCTCAATTGTCTGAGGTCGGGAAACTCAAAGTTTGGCGTTGCCAAAAATCTCCCCGAACTCACACAAGGGAGCCTGCTGGAAGGCTAAGACAGACACATCTCGCACATGTTTCCCTACCAAACAAAACTGCGTAACAAGACCAAGATATTGCACAAGTTTCATAACCCGGGGAGCTCCAGGAAGCCCGGGTGGCGCAGTGGTAAGAGCTCTCGCCCCCTACCAATGTGACTCGGCCCTTGCTCTGAGAGGTTTTTCTCCGTGTTTCCGGTTTTACCTTTTCCTAAAACACCAACACTTCTAAATTCCAATTCGATTCGGAACACACGAACACGTTTAAACGAGTTCTTAGAACCCCTGAGTGTTTCGTAGGAAAACAAATTACAATGCTCGAATATCAGTTATCAGTTTGATTTGGGTGATTTCTCTGCCATGTGTTAGATTTCAGACCAATATTGTCAAATCTTTACCATCATATAATTTATGGATCTAAGATCTCAGCCATTAGTTAAAAGCTTCAGTTTCTCAGTTGACTGTTAAATTTTGGCTCATTATTCTCAGCTTTCCGTGCCTTCATCCCCCCGTAAGCGAAATTTGATCCTCGCACTTAGAGGCATGGTAACTAAATTGTCCATTATTTTCAATTAAGTCCTGTTGTCACCCGCAGATGGCAGGTAGATCACCTTTTAATGCAAAAATTTTTAGAACAACCTGATGTGGCCTAGAGTAATAATTTGCCCATATCAGAGGCAAATTTCACTCAAAAATTGGCGAAAAGAATGATTTGGAAAGATCACCAATGTTAAAAGGCATTCAGGAAATAATCGAATAAGGAATAGCAAACACAAAGAATCCCTGCTTTTCAGGTAAGACTCTCGGGGTAAGACTCAATCAAAAGGTCAAAAATACTACTTTCTCGCTCAGCAGGTAAATGAATTACGGTAATCGCTGAGTCCTATGGAGCTTGAAATTTCATTTCTGTCAGCCGAAGATCCGTGTCAGCCCATTTCTTACAGTACAGCTTACATTTCCAAGGTAGATTTTACGATTTTAAATCTTATTGGGTAAAAAGTATTGGTATTTTTATTCAAGCGATTTGAGATTATCTCAACATAAGGCCCGTAAAATCAACAACAATTTGCATTCGATTTTTAAAAATATCGTCTGTGAACACGCTCTACAAGTCACCTCAAGCCGCCTCCCAGCACGACGAAGAAATAAACGTTCAACTGTTTTACTTTCGTGAGTGAGAGCAATCAAGAAAAATTCAAGAAAAAATGACATTTTAAGAGACTGACAAGCAGTCAACACCAAGCTGTGAACTGGCTTTAAGATGAATTGTAATTTCCTACTATTTCTTAGAAGGCGGGATAAAGAACTTTTTCTCGCCTTTAAACCTACGAAGAGTAGAAAGATCGGATCCGTGCTAGACACTTTTGATTTAGTTTGAGAGTTTTGCAACTAAAAATTGCAGTTTAAATTTGTGAACACCGTTGTTAATTTCTAAAAAGGTTTGCCACTTGTCAGAGACGCCGTTGTCTTGCTTCCCGGCTGGGCTGGACGAAGTATTATTTAACCCAAGATCAAAATCACGATAAAACTATATTTACATCAAATCTGGTGCGGCAAAACGTAGCTATGCATATAGTCGTTCGGTTTTCTTGAGAAATGTGAAATTGTACTGTGATTGACTTACCCAGTTTCTTTGGTAGGTAACTAAGCCTTAAATTAGATAATTGAATACAAACACTACCCTATTCTGGGAGAGAATTTGAAAGCAGATACGTGTATCTGAGTTTCTTTAAAATAGTAACATAAAAACTATCCAATGAGCTTAGCTAGGTTAAATTTCGCCTGAATACTGGTCTACTAAAGTCGTACTAGTTATCGGTCACGTGCACAAGTTCCAGATGTCGTTTTCCCTAATTGGTTTACGCTAGAGCCAGAGATTCAGGAGAAATGCAGGGACCAAAAACAAGGGTCCTGTGTATATGCAGTATACATCGCGATTTCAAAGGCTTTCGACACCGCCGGTATTGTTGGTTTAAGGTCTTGTCCTCTGAGTGCCTCTTAAGTTTTACGCTACAGTCCGTCAGTTCCTTGATGGCCAGATGAGTATTAATCAGAAAGAGCTTCNTGTGATTGACTTACCCAGTTTCTTTGGTAGGTAACTAAGCCTTAAATTAGATAATTGAATACAAACACTACCCTATTCTGGGAGAGAATTTGAAAGCAGATACGTGTATCTGAGTTTCTTTAAAATAGTAACATAAAAACTATCCAATGAGCTTAGCTAGGTTAAATTTCGCCTGAATACTGGTCTACTAAAGTCGTACTAGTTATCGGTCACGTGCACAAGTTCCAGATGTCGTTTTCCCTAATTGGTTTACGCTAGAGCCAGAGATTCAGGAGAAATGCAGGGACCAAAAACAAGGGTCCTGTGTATATGCAGTATACATCGCGATTTCAAAGGCTTTCGACACCGCCGGTATTGTTGGTTTAAGGTCTTGTCCTCTGAGTGCCTCTTAAGTTTTACGCTACAGTCCGTCAGTTCCTTGATGGCCAGATGAGTATTAATCAGAAAGAGCTTCACAGTTTCTAAGGGCATCAAGCAAGGATGAGTCCTTACATCCCCCTGGTTCTCCGTTTACTTCGGTATGATGCTTTAAGAGGCAAAGGATGAGGTGATAGACGACAGATGACAGTCTTTTCAGTTTGGAGAGGAGAGAATCATCGAATTGCCATTCGCTGATTACTAACCTGGCTCACACAAAGTCTAATCTCCAACTAAATTTGAATCATTTTTTTCTAAAGAGGGCCGGTACTTCCAGCCCTTCTCGAGAGCCACCTACAACTCTCTAAAGATAGCACAGCCCTCAATGCAGTCATGAACTGTACTTTATTTGCAAGCTTTAATTTGTATCGAATAATGCCACTTCACTCTTACCAGAGACCCAGACAATCGCCATTCAAAAGCAAGGTGTATGGTGTATGGTGCAGAGGTCTGTGTGACTGTCCAGGGTGGACGAATCTTTTCCCGCCCTGCCTGTGTCCTTTGCCGCAGATAAATTTGTCTTCTTGAAAGTTTCGATCAACTCTGCTTGAGGACCATTCTTCGAATCAAATGGTAGGGATACGCCTCCAACAAAAGCTATACTTGCAAGGGCACACCTACTTTTCGTTCACCTCGGTGAAAAACAATAATGTGCCAATAAGGTGTCTCAAGGACTTGCTACGGCTGGCCGCCCATATAGATCACAAGCGGATTTGAAGGCCACTCGTCATTCAGGATAGAAAGCTGCAAGTTAAAAACCTTTTAAGGAGTAGAGTTGCACAGGAGAAACGCAAGCGACAGAAAGTAACAGCGTCTGTACAAACTCACTAGTTGAATTCTTCACCTGCCTGTCGTGCCAAAGCTAGAGATCTCCACCTCACGTGTTGGACTGCTTAGCCACTAGCAAGCCAGCCATTATTATCATTGTTAAATCCCAAATGTTGGTGACGTTCACGGGGCACTTATAACAAAACCTCCCAAAGGTGGCCAAAAACGTCGACCTTTTACATCTTCCGCTCCAGTGAGCATGCGCAATGAAGCGAATTCGAGGCTTGGGTGGATAATATACCCTTCCATGTTTTTTCAACTTTTGACATGGACAAAACGTCTGTAAATTTTCGCAGCTTTGCCGAGCTATACCTTCGCTCGCTTATGACACATCACTCGAGTTCAAATTCGGCAAATTTACTAATTTCAAGGCGCTCTTTCCAGTGGTGTCAGCGGATTTTCCCAAATCTGTCCATGTCAAAAATTGAAGAAACCGAGGAAGGGTCTCCTTCAGCTGGTGTATGTCTTTGTTCATAGGAATGTTGGAACGGTCTACCTAACGGCCATCATCCTTGGAAAAAAAGGCAATTTAAACGATTGGTGACAAACAATATGTCCGCAAACAGGAAAAAATACCAAAAATACTATTGATCAGTGTTACAGCGCTTTTTACCTTTGCCAGAGGTTTTCACATATCTTTTTTTTTTACCAATGTAGACTGGTACTTAACAAACATTTTGGAAACTTTGTTGAGTTTCGTGTTACGATGAACTAGTCAAAAATTTAAATTGTTTTGGAGGCGGAGTCACGTGATTTCAAAGAAGGAGATATGACACCCTCATAAATTCACGACTTTGACTTTAAAATATCTTGGATTGGAATCCATAAAAAAAGTCACAATATCGAGCGGCAACAGTAGCGCTATCTTTACTGTATTGAATATCACTGGACGGAAAAATGGATTTGCTCAAATTTGCTCTCGGCAGATATGTAGCAAAAATGCAATAAATGAGGAGTAAATCTGGGCCAAATATAGTCAATGCTACATTTGCCTCCAGATTTACAACGCCGTGTTTTTGGTATGCAAATGTGGCGTTTAATATCCCTGCGTCAGAATTACTCCTCACATGTTTGCGACGTATTTGCAAGGAGAAAATTTGTGCAAATCTATTTTTGTTTGGAAACTCACTGAGCGACGGGTTAGAATTTCAGAGATAAGCCCGTTAGTGTAGCTCTTTCACAGAAGATAATACCCATCAGTTACAAGGCGGATAAAATATTTCAAAGTCGTCCGTGCAGCTTCTCTTGTCTGACACCTGTTAATTTTTCGAACAATCTCTCCACCATGGCCTTGTTCTCACATCCCATGGCCTCAACTAGCAAGGGGCGTATACGATATTATATTTTACCTAAATAGGCCCACAAGCATTTTGTCCTGAAGGTAACTTGTTAAAAAACAGTGTCCTCATACCACATAAGGTGCATGACATTTGGCCCGTTACTCAAAAAAAAGTCTATCTTAAACCGCGATTTAAGATGATCATTGACCTTAAGAACTATTTCTAAATGGACTATTATTAGATAAACGGGTACTCCTCACAGTTAACTATGTTTAGTTACAATGGGTTCTGATGGCATGTTACGATTTACATACCAGCCACCTGGAGGATTTGTCGAATAAACACCTTGAAGACAAGGCTGGAACAAAAAAAAAGTACGATCTATCATCTTCTGAATCTCCTTCCATAAACGCTTTTTAACACATAGTGTGACCTGTTTAGTCTTAGACATGTTCTGATTCAACTTACAACAAAAAACATCTGTCAATTTTTCACTCTGGCAAACTTTGAAAAGTTAGAATTCATTGGTGCGTAGAATCAAAGAAAGACGTCCTTGACATTTTTTTTGTTGTTGACACACTTTTTTTTTTCTTGATAATAAATGGAAATGAACTATCTCATATCTACTAGGCTTGACTTAACTTAGCACAAATCTAGAAGAAGGTGTTTAAATGAGAGTGTAGGCATTGAATGTGAAGAGATAACAAGCGCAGAGCCACCAATAAATGTCAACTTACCAGTTCTACCACCTGTAAATTGGTCGATTGGTCATCTTTGGAGAATGCATGGTTTGGTGTGAAAATGATTCACTGTAATCAAGGTACTTGATTCAAATTTGCTTCGTAGAGGTCTATTTCCTGCTTCTCCTCAAGTGAAGTGAAGAACATCGTTTGAGTTCGAATTACGGCTATATTTGATAGACGGTACATACTTTGACCTCTATAGGTATATCTACCTGTAATGTCATCGAAACTATAATTATTTCCAAGTGGGGCGTAATTTTGTAAATGAAGGAAGGGCAAAAGATCGAAGTGGACCTAACCAAGCCGAAAGATTCAAGAATGACAACTCAAGGTTACTGACTGAAGAGACCGCCAGCTATAACGGTTCCGCAGCTCGATGACCATATAACATGTACCGTTCAGTTTTGGGTTCTAACCGGTGGTAATGTTCAAACATGGATCCCGAGTACTTCAGCGATAATCGATTGTCCCTTGTGGCCAACGAAAACTGCAAAATCAGAGCCTGCAAGCCGCCGAGAATCGAAGAATTCCCACCGGATCTATTCACACAAGAGCAGAGATATTACGGAGGAGTAGCATTTCATTTTTTGATCTGCCTCCACATCTTCTGCGCTCTTACGGTGGTTTGTGATGACTATTTTGTTTCATCGCTCACTCGCATCACGAAATGCTTGAAGCTAAAGCCAGACGTGGCTGGCGCAACTTTCATGGCGGTTGGAAGTTCAGCTCCGACACTGTTCATCTCCATAATATCGACGTTTTTTACTGAGGGAGACATCGGTCTTGGGACTATTGTGGGCTCCACGATATTTAACACGCTGTTCATTATCGCCTTGTGTGGAATCGGGGCTGGCGTGACGATGCATCTTACCTGGTACCCAATCTTTAGGGATTCTATCATGTATATCCTAAGCGTGCTGATTCTTATGTTCTCGCTATACGACCGAAAAATCCACTGGTACGAAAGCGTGGCGCTTTTCGTTGCTTATACATTGTACATTATCGTGATGTACTTCAATGATTCTCTGGAAGAGTGGGCTCAGGAAATGAAAGAAAAAATAACGAAGAAAAAGGAAGAGAAAGAAAGCAAAAGAATAGAAATAGAATACGAAGAAGTTCAGGATATAAATGAAAGTACTGAAAATCTGAATGAATCTGAAGAGACTGAAAATCGGTTGAAGCTGCCTAAAGGTTCAGTCTTTTCCAAGGCTTTGTGGATTTTCACTCTTCCCTCTATAATTTTGTTCTTTTTCACTATCCCAGACTGTCGTAAGAAGAAATGGCAAAAGTTCTATCTCCTGACATTTACTTCGTCGGCGATATGGATGGGCGGTCTGTCTTATGTTCTGGTGTGGATGGTATCCCTGGTTGGATACACTTATAATATCCCAGAGTGCGTCTTGGGCATGACGTTTCTCGCTGCAGGCAGCAGTCTCCCAGACGCCATTGCGAGCTTAGTAGTAGCCAAATTAGGAAGAGGCGATATGGCAGTTTCCAATTGCATTGGAAGTAACGTGTTTGATATGTTGTGCCTTGGCATAACTTGGCTGATCAAAACTACTATTATTTCTCCCAACACCGCGGTTTATATTCAAAGCGAGAATATATTTTTCACCAGTGGGATTTTAATAGCGAGCATTTTATGCACAATATTGTTGATAGTCTTAAACAAATGGAAACTTGATGAAAAACTGGGCGTTATTTTCCTTGTAATGTATTTACTTTTTCTCGGTATTGCTACTTTTATAGAGGTTTTGCCTTGTTGTTGAGAGCTGTATTTTTATGCTTATTTGGAGTCGGTGAAATTAGAGTGGCCTGGGAGAAATGCGTGAAGATTTCTAGTGACTATATATACACATGGGCATGGTAGCTTTATGAAGCGAGCCATTCAAATAAAAGCTGTTTGGCATTTTTTTTCTTGCAGTAGAGTGTTAGTTATTGCCAACTTAATTTTCATTAATGACGTCAGTTGGATCTAGGGCTTTTCACCCCAGTTTCGGTGAAAGGTTATAATGCCTGTAGACCCACTGCCTTGTCTCATAGAGAAACAGAAAGGTACGGAAACTTGGCGTTATCAACTAAAATTCCTACCCATAAACTAACTCAGTACTAAATAGCGTGCGCTACCATTTCTCTCTGGGATTTCCTTATACTATTTTAAAAAAGATTTCTTTTAAACGTATTCACGATACAGGCGTCATTTGAAGGAACTGGATGATAAATTAAAAGACTCCAAGATGACACAAAAGTTTCCCAGGAGAATAAGTGTACTTCATCACAGGAAGCGCCATTTCTTCAACTGCAGCAGCCATGCGATCATTGAAGTTCTTCAGTATCAAACAATCTTTTCATTGCAGCAGAGACGGGAAGGTGCAATAGTGATACACGGTCTTATTTGCCTGTATTGCTTTGGTGCATTAGCAATCTTGTGTGATCATTATTTCTGCGCATCTCTCGAGAAGATTTGCAAAAGGTAAGTCTTAAAGGGGTTATGTCACGTGGATATTGCTGCAGTTTAGGAAAATTCTGAGGTGATTACCTGCCTCGTACCCAGACGTCTCTCTCTCAATGAAAATGTGCGCGTAAAGGAAGGCAGGACGGAGACGACGGGCTTCACCTGCCGTCTGTACCCTTCCCATGGTACCTTGCGGTTTTTCACCAGTCACTCGCGTTTCGCGCTCGCCTCTACCATGCGAAAAACAAAGCGCCTGAGGAGGAGGCTGGGTCATTACTAAGTGCCTTTACCCATACACAAAATGCTACTATAGCGGTATGAAAACGATATGAAAAATTTCATTAGGAGCACTAACAATAATAAATGTTTGCTTTTGGCGATTTTTGCAGGCATCGCATTAAAACTTGCTAAGGTTGGCCCAACTTTTTCAAGTTTCAATCCATGTTCATCCTGTCCATCCGCTGCAACAGACGACAGGAAACAGTTTTGATGCCTAAATTAAGTTTTAAATAACAAAACTGGACCATTATTGTTTCAAAGGGTGAATTCGATTGATGCCAAAAAAGTTTCAGCTTTTTAAAAGGATAGCAAATGGCGTTACATAGGTCCTTTAATTGTCAAAGAATTCACTGCCGTGGCCAAACAAAATAGTTGGTTATTTAAGGCTTTGGAATTGACAAGATGCACACGACTCAGCTTGACTTTCAACGGCGTGTTTTTCGGAGATACACCATTGTCAGTAGTTCAGTACCTTCAGAATAATAACTGTGATTGCCATGTCTTACATCGTTCACTTAATTGCACCCTGCCAACTGCATCTCCTCGCCTTGCGTTGCGGAAGAAACTTCATGTCACTCAACCTAGGATTGCCATAAGGAAAGGGGGTGTTGTTTTGCAGCCATTGCAAAAAAAAAAAAGATTTTGCAGTGGAGCTTGTCCTAAACTGTGTATTGGACAAAAGAATGCCTTGCCAGGGTGATAGGAACCTGGAAATCAATCTTTTGTCTGTGATCCTTGAGATTTGGTCCCGTTATATGCTTCATCAAAATGGATCTTAGTGCCTCATTTCAGCCACAAAAGTGGTCTGATAAATAGTAGCAGTTTACCCCGATATTAAACTCTTTTTCTTATCTTCGGCAGGCTTCGTATCCCGACAGACGTCGCAGGCGCAACATTTATGGCAGCCGGTAGTTCCATGCCCACTCTGTTTATCGCCATTGCGTCGGTGTTCATGGGTGAAGGAGACATAGGCCTGGGTACTATAATTGGCTCGACTATGTTTAATATTCTTTTTATATCAGCGATCTGTGGATTGTGTTCTGGAATGGCCATAGCACTTCACACGTGGCCTCTACTCAGAGACTCCTTTGCATACACTGTTCATCTAATAGCATTGCTGATTGCAATTGAAGATAATACTGTCCACTGGTATGAAGCCGCTGTTTTTCCCTTCTTGTATTGTGGCTATATCCTCATTATGTGCTACAACAAAAAACTGGAAGGTTTGTTTGAAAAATGTTGCCAACGATTTTGTGAGATTCGCAAGGGATTTGAAATGGTTCAGATGGACAACCCCAGCGAAAATGATAGCAAAAGTTTAGGAGATGACAACACGACGGCAAAATCTGAACAAGATATTGAAGAAAACCCTGATACAGCTGGTCATAACGAGACGAAAGAAACCCATGCGCTAGAAAGCCCGCCGTCACAAGTTCACGGTTTTTCTGCAAAATCCCCGTTGGAGATTCCCAAAAGCTCGTGTAAACTTGTTATCTGGATCATTATGCTCCCGATCCACGCAATTTTTTTCATTACGATGCCAGACTGCCGTAAAAAAGGATGGGAGAGTTGGTATCCAGTCACATTTGTAGTGTCAATAATATGGATGGCCATCATTTCTTACGTGTTAGTATGGACAGTTTCAGTAATAGGCGAGACGTTTGACATTCCTGAGTGTATCATGGGATTGACGCTTCTGGCTGCTGGATCGAGTGTCCCGGATGCAATGGCGAGTCTGGTTGTCGCCAAACATGGAATGGGTGACATGGCACTCGCCAACTGTGTGGGTAGTAACATATTTGACATCCTTTGTCTAGGATTGCCATGGTTTCTGGCCGCGACAGTTGTTCACCCAGGCAGCGTGGTCTTAATCCACAGTGGTCACATAGTTTACACATCGTTGTGTCTTTTTGGCACGGTTTTAGTGACGTTGATTGTCATACATCTAAACAACTGGTACTTAGACAAGCGTGGGGGATGCATTCTTTTGATAATCTACCTCGTGTTCTTAACAGTTGCCGTTATTCTTGAAGCCCTGCCACGGGGGAATGAGCCCAAGTTAAGCCCCCATCACCCAAGTCACCTCCCAAAAAAGGGTTTGGGACACCACAGGAACGGTCATCTGACTCACTTGAAAAAAGTCACGTGACAAAGGCATGGTAAACAGGCTTCATTAAATTACTGTTCAGAAATCGTGCACCAATACTTTGACCAATGTTTAAAATCTGGGCACGAAAAAAAAATTACCTGTAAAAACGAGAATACATCTCGCCGCTCTCAACGCCTAAAAGAGCTAAAGGCCATGAAAGAGCAAGTTCTCAACTTAATCAACTTTTTTAGTCATCTTTTTATGTTTACTCTGGTTTATTTTGTGTTGTTGTTCCTGAAGGTACTGTTTCGAAATATGCCATTATTTGAAAAAAGGTATACAATACATTAATATCTTCAGATGTAAATTACATATTATTGCAGTATGTATAAGCTTGTCTATTTTGACTTACAAGGTATAATTGGAGAAAAACGTGGAGGTTAGGTAGGTCAATTTATTTAAAAAGGCATTTTCAATCACTTCTTTTGGCAACGTCAACAACAAAATACATGAAAAGAGTACGGTGAGGCGGACAAAATACAAATATTTCATATACTTTCTTATTTATATTTTTTGCACTTAATTATATTGTATATACAAAATAAAGTTCTGATTATTGCATTCTGTTTCTAACTTAATTCAATTTGATTACTTTCATTTCTAAAGCTGGTGGAGATTACGCCCTTGCACCTCTGGATTATACTAGTAAGAGAGACACGTGCAAACTGTGGCTTAAATTAATACTGCAAGGACTAATCAAATAACGTAAAAAGACTTGTCAAGTTACGAAATTTCGACTGATCAATACATGTACCAGTTTTCACCAGGTTTATCAGGACAAATCAGGAATTTACAGAAATTTATATGTAGATTTCTGCAAATCGTAATTTGTCCTCACTAATCTGAAGAAGGCTGGAACTTGACACTTGAAAATATCGAGACGCAAATATTTTAACGTTACTTAATCGGTCCCTGTAGAAGTCGTTTTGACAAATTATTCGACATATTTTCATCAATTTCGACTGTTCACGATCCTTTTTGACCCAACTACCAGCAGGATGATTGTGTGCGGATTTAACAATGGTTTTAGCCCTAAACTTGGCACATAGTTTGATTGTTGGAAGTATCCATCATTATTTTCCTCGACAAATTTTGATCAAGTGTAGGTTAGATTAAGATCGAGATTAAGATTAAGTGGAGCCCTGAAATAAAGAAGTACCTGGGNGGATGATTGTGTGCGGATTTAACAATGGTTTTAGCCCTAAACTTGGCACATAGTTTGATTGTTGGAAGTATCCATCATTATTTTCCTCGACAAATTTTGATCAAGTGTAGGTTAGATTAAGATCGAGATTAAGATTAAGTGGAGCCCTGAAATAAAGAAGTACCTGGGATACGAAGGTGGTATGTTATTGACGATATGTTCCATACACTTCACAGTAATTAAGGTGAAGAAAGTCATTTGCGTCATTTGCGTGGTTTTACTATTGAGACGTTCGTTGTATTGTAAGCGTGAAAATATCTCCACCTCACTTCGACTGTAGAGGAGAAATAGAAGTGACTTGGTGATCTCCACTGCATGACAACAAAAGTGAACAAATCACCGACCAAACAAGCTTGGAGGTAAGACCCGATAAAGGTGAGTCCGTGAATTATGAATCAAGAATTGTATCACATGTACGAAGCAACAGAGGTAAAGACGAGTTGCTGTCCTTGTGCCATCTGGAATAAGAAACAACATTCCGTCGTTAAATATTAATAAAACAAACCGCCTATCTCTAAGCTTTTCTACACACCTCGGATGGTGAAAATGTTCTTTTAATTTTTATTTCTTAACTGCATCGCTTAGTGGAGGATTGGGGGCTTGGGGACGCGACGAAACAAAGAACGGCTGCCAAGGAGTCTACAATAGGCGACAAACTTGTTGCGACACTGTCCTCAAATGGGGTAAGCTCGAAGAACAAAACAATCCACACCTATTCACACCTTCATTCAAAGCTGGGTTCACGATGTTTCCTACAGGTAGCTCGAACGTGCTACCTGTAGCCCGTATATGTATTTTCCCCTTTTGAAGTCGCAAAACGTCAAAAAGGTCCTGTAGGGCAAATTGCCTCAACTAATTTTGTCGTCAATTGTAGTTGCTCAAGAATAATAAGAAAAAGTTTCGAAACATTCATTGTATAAGCATACTGACGATGAAACAGATATCGGTGAATCGGACCAAGAAAACTGGAAAGGACCCTCGCTGGAATGGTTTTACCAAAATAACATTCAAAATATATTTTACCTTCCGCTATAAACTTCGGAATCCGGGCTTAGTATCACAGGTGCCACACTGGACAGAGAGAATTAAAAAAAAGTGAAAAACATGATATTTAGATATCCTTTACAACAAGAATCATACCATTATACTATGCCATAGGGAAGTTCTTTTTCTGAAAAGTGGCACAGCAGGGTACAACGCTATCAGAACTACTTCTCATATAACATCATCCTTGTAAAGGTACTGTCAAGCCGTGGTGTACCGATCGAAGCTGTTCAAAACCAGTCACTGTAGATGTTTAGCCCAATTGGTTGAGTATCACATTTCGGAGCGGTGGGCCCTTGTGCACATCCCCGCCGAATTAGCATTCAGAAGCTTAAAATGACTGAGAGGGACAGGGAGGGATGCACAGCCTTTGTTTTGCATCTGTGAATGATTAGACATTCGAGTCTTCTGGGATAAGGGAGAAAAACCGTAGGCTCCATCGCACAGAGGTTTCATGACCTGACTCTTGTGGGACGTAAAAACACTAGAGACGTAACAATCCCTGAGAGTGACCACCCCTACTGTCTCACGGGTTGTGGGTATGGGTAGGGAGGGTACCTCGTGAGTCCCGTTCGTACCCACCCCTGGTCTGTGCCCAGTAAAGCTGATATAATAGAGAGTTTACGTAACAGGACGGCAGAAAGAAGAGGACCGCAAAACGCTTGTGTGTGACTCACTTCTGGTCTTTTACAAAAAGAACTGTTTAAAGGAAGATGGCGTTTAAGGGAATTTTTTGCAAGCAAACTTATTGTCACACTTGTCTCGCAAGGTTTGCCGTCTTCTTTCCCCTCTCGTCCTGCTGCGTAAGTTCACTAATAACAAGGTGCCCGGTTGAACAAAAAATAAGGATTTGATATCCATTTTGAGGCTGGGCGCGAGATTGGGTTGGCGGTGCGTCGAATGACGCTACATAACTGTTTTAATTAGTAGAACCACTTCTTTTACTGGTACAGGCAATGGCTATGTTTTCAACAAGCGGGAAACTAGTACGACTTATGTACGCAAAGGTTCTAGGGATCGTCCGGGGGGACAGCAAAAACTTGCTGGCCACCTGTTAAGAAGACATACTTGGTACATCAACGTCTTAAGGAATTCTGTAATAGTGAAGATTTATTGCATTTCTGAAACTAGCATTGCAGTTTGAAACACAGCGCTAGTGCGCTATGTTTGTTGACTTTCATGCTGCCCCTCCAAACGATCCCAAGAAGCTTCGTGGTCGTATAACGAACCCAGTTTTTCACTCGTTTAGAACATGACGAATTCGTCCCCTAAACAGTAACACAGGATCTCCCACCGTAAGTCAACAAAACACTGACCCATTCTCTCGCGTAGTCTCCGAATGTTACTGTCAAATTCATGGAAAGGACACAGGACAATAATATATCTACCAAATATTTCCAGGCTTGGGCACTTTGTTATACAAGGGGTGCACGGCAGAGTAAAAAGATCTTACTTGGGAAGTTTAAGGAGGTTTATTAATTCCTGAGCTCGCATCAGCAAATCTGGATAACACTCTGGGTCAGAAAGAAGCTCCTACAAGGAAGAAAGAAGAAGAATCACCGTCGAGCAAAAAATACTCCCACGGCAACTGAGCTACTTTAGTTACTTCCTCATGCCCACATAAATGCCACATTAATTTGTAAGTATCAATTTTGTGGTCAAATTAATAAAACTGTAAGTAAATAAATCTTCACTTACACAAATAAAACAAATAACTTACTGGTTTCTGCCGCACAACTTTACTCAAGCACAGAATAGCTCTTTGAATAACATCCTGACATCTTGAAGCAAGCTACAAGAAAGAGCAAAATAGCAATAGTTACGCAGAATATTTAACGTAGAAATATCACAATTTCGCTTGAAATTCCCTTTTATATCATTACTGCTTAACCATACAAAATTATGTCAACTGATTTTTGAAGAGTTCTTTCCCATTATTCTCCTTGGCCTTCCCTTTGAGCGTTCCCTCAGGTCTGTTGTCCGCTGAGGCAACGGATATCAAAGAAATTTTACGTGAACTCCTCCAGCAGGCTGATATTTTTCTTACTTCTACCAATACTATGGGTAAAAGTAGAAAATTACTCGTTTTTGTTTAATAAGTTTAGTAACCTCACAGGCTTTTCCTTTCGTTTCCTTTTAGCTGGCGAGGTCGTTAATCACGTTACTAATCGTCGAGTCCCTCAGTGTAACACGTTATCAGGTTGTGTTTCGAATGGTGAAGACATTTTCCTAAGTTTACCAACAGATCATCTGAAATCCCCAAATTATCCCCTAAAACCTCTTTCGTCATTATCTCTATGGTAACCTTGCACCTTGCAAAACCGAACTCATCTTCTCATTTCAGGTTCGAACTTTTTAAGAACAATTCTTGTTTCGCTCGTTTGTTTAAACTTGTTCCTGGGTGGCAGTTCTAAAACTAAAAGCCTTCACAAAACTAAAAATACACGAGGCAAATACGTGAAGCTAGATTTTGCAATCTGAAGTCGTAATATGAGCTTTAACATAGAAGAGAATATGACAGTCCTATTGGAAAAATTGGATATATTTAAAAACTATTTACCAAAACGCCAATAAGGCTTTAGCACAGAACGAAGCGAGGTTATATGATACCATTTCCTGAACCGTATCTTAAGCTCAGCGAGTGGTTTCGATAAGTTAAACGTCAGAACTAAAACAGTAGAATCTTCCGCGCGGCTTTCAATCCATCGATTGCCATTTGAACCGAAACTAAGGAATATTCCACTGTCAATCAGACACTATAATTTCCCTCTATTTTCCTTAAACATATAGAGATGCTAATGTATGCTTTCTCAGATGAGATTTTTCATCATGCTCTATTTTCGGTCAAATGCGACTACCTCATTGAGAAAAGGTATTTAAATAGCAAGTTTCAGCCCGTTCAATATCTAGAAATAACTTATGACCTCTTGAAGACGTTTTCACTTTGCTATTATATTAAGGAACGTTTTAACCGTAAATTCAATTTAGCGTAAAAAGGTGACCTGATAAGTACAGTCTATTTTTCCATTTATTTTGTCCTTTTGTGGATGTACAAGTTAGATGTACAAGTTTTTCTTCTCATCCCGATTTTGTTTGAGGGAAGGAGGCGGATGTACATAGGCTAAATGATAGCAAACGAAAACAAATCGTCTTTCTTTTTAGCTCTGAAGAAGACCGTCATTTAAAGCATAGAGGAACTGCCCAGGCTGCCACGATCGCAGTTCTTGTTTCGACGTACCTTCTAATCACAAATCGCGTTGAAAAAGCCATCGAGTTATGTAAGGAAAATTTATTTCTTGTTAAGACAAGACACTGAAGGATATAAAGGAGTTTGCCAGTTGGTAGAAGACAGCAACATATCTACAAATGCTTGCAATGAACGAGCCTGTGAAGCTTACGGAAGATAACAGGCATGCAATAAAATTTTACAAAAAGCTTCGCGTAATTTATAGAGATACTGGTCAGAGAGCATTAGAAGGAGAAGCACTATTTCAGCTGGCGCGATTATACAAAAACGAGTACGATTATAATGAAGCAATTGAGCTTTGCACAAAAGCAATAAGAATCGCGATAGAAACCAAAGAAAAAAGGTTGGAACGCGAATGCTATGTAAAGCTAGGAAGTATCTTTCAGTCTTTAGGTGTATATGTCAAGTCTGTAGAATACCACAAACAAGCACTTGGAATCGCAGAAGAAACTGGCGACAAGGAAAGAGAGGTCGCATGCTATGAAAGACTAGTAGGAGGCTTCCTGTCTCTCGGTGAAAAAACAAAGGGTAAAGAATACCAGGAAAAAGCACTTGCAACCGCAGAAAAAATTAGCGGCAAGGAAGCAAAAGCCAAATGCTATCAAAACCTCGGAAACAGCATTCGTTCTGTAGGCGAACATATCAAGGCCATGGAATGTTACGAAAAAGCACTTGCAATCGCAGAAGAAATTAGCGACGATAGAACAAAAGCTGAATGCTACAGAAACCTGGGAATAGTCTTTGAGTCTCTTGGTAAACATGTCAAGGCTAAAGAGTATCACGAAAAAGGAATTGCAGCCGACAAAACAGAAGCCCATTACTATGGAAATCTGGGAAGCAGCTTTCAGTCCATCAGTGAATATGGCAAGGCTATAGAATACCAAGAAAAAGCACTTGCAATCGCAGAAAAAATTGGCGACAGGAGAATAAAGGCCGCATGCTATGGAAACATAGGAAGAGTCCTTGAGTGCCGCGGTGAACATGTACGGGCGACAGAATATTACCAAAAAGCACTTGCAATCGCAGAAAAAATTGGCGACAAGGACATAGAGGCCGCATTCTGTGAAAACTTAGGTATTGCCTTTCGCAATGTCGGTGAGTGTGCTAAGGCTAAAGACTGTCTCGAACGAGCGGTCGTAATTTGTAGAGAGGCTGGAAAAGTGGAAAAAGAGATAACACTTCACTTGCTTATTTCGCTTTGCATGATTGAAGCCGGCAACATACCTAAAGCTGAAATACATTTCCTTGATTGCCTTTGTGCGGTAGAGCTTCTTCGAAGTTTCGTGAAAGATCACGACCAGCTCAAGATATCGTTGCTTGACAGGTTCGGAAGATACTTCCGAAATATCAGTCATTTGATTTGCCTTGCGGGACACCCAAACCTAGGCCTTTACACAGAGGAGACTGGACGAGGCAGAGCCCTGGCAGAGTTAATCACTGTCCAGTACCCTTCAAAAATAGAAATAATAACCAGTCCAGAGCAATGGGTTGGTATTGAAAGGATAGTGAAGAGAGAACACAACTGCGCCTTCCTTTACATTTCGTACCTCGAGAAATTTTTTAAATTGTGGGTTATTAAGGCACACAAACAATTATTTTTCCGAAAAATGAACATAAATGACTGTTTTGCTGGCAATGGACCAGAAAGCAAAGTGGCTGACGTTTTCGGCACTGAAGTATTTAGAGACACGTTTTGTTTAGCTCCAGAGCAGTGCGAAGATCGATCCTGGTTTCCTTCAAATGTTGACTCCGAGCAGACGCGCAAGTCATCTCAAGGAAATAGCCTCACGGGGTGCCGCCTTGTAGAGGAGGATGAAGACGACCAGCAGCCCATCCCAACTCTTGCAGATGGCTACAAAATGATCATCACTCCTGTCACTGACTTGCTTGATAAAACCGAACTGATCATTGTTCCCGATCGCTTGTTTTTTAAAGTTCCATTCGCAGCGTTAAAGGACGAAAGAGGAAAGTATTTATCAGAGTCCTTCAGAATTCGCATCGTTCCCTCTTTGAGGACTCTCAAGCTTATTCAGGACAGTCTAGCCGACTATCACAGTCAGACTGGTGCACTGATAGTGGGAGATCCTGAGGTTGGTGAGGTGTTATACAAGGGAAATCTTCAGCAGGTATCGAGGCTGCCTTTTGCAAGCGAGGGAGCAGAGATGGTTGGAGGACTGCTAGGTACCAAACCTCTGTTAGGAGAGCAAGCCACAAAGGAGACGGTTCTCCAAAGTATACATTCAGTAAGTCTGATACATTTCGCTGCGAATGGTGATGCCGACAGAGGAGAAATTGTTCTTGCTCCTCCGCCGGGCATTGATAGGAAACCTCAAGAAGAAGACTACTTGTTGACCATGGCGAACATCTCACAAGTTCGGCTACGAGCCAAACTGGTAGTCCTTAGCTGTTGTCACACTGCACAAGGACAGATCAAAACGGAGGGAGTTGTTGGAATTGCTCGGGCGTTTTTAGGATCCGGTGCACGCTCAGTGTTGGTGGCACTGTGGGCCATACAAGACGAAGCAACAAAGCAGTTCATGGGTCGTTTCTACGAACACCTTGTAGATGGTGAAAGTGCCAGTGAATCTCTTCACCAAGCCATGAAGTGGATGAGAGAAAACGGATTCTCTAAAGTGCAGCAGTGGGCACCTTTTTTGCTGGTTGGAGACAACGTGACATTGGATTTTCAAAAGTTAAGGTTAGTAGAAACTTATTGACATCTTGGGTTTTGAGACAAAAATGGTCGAGTCCCGGCTCATCAAGAGTATCGAGGGTGTCCGCTAAATAAGGATAAAGGGGTTAGATTGTACAGAAACTGAGGTGATGAGTCGGTTGGGGAGTGAAATACAGGTTTATTAACTGATTTGATAGATAAGTCAATTGACCCAGCACAGTACAGAGATTTCAAAGCTTCCGCTTCGTTGTTCTTAGCTCGATAGATAAAACCAAATTTTTGAGCTTAATATGGAGTTCGCTAAAATACAAAATACAAGTTCACTGTGAAGGAGAGGCTTGTAAGCGGAAAGACAGAAAGGCGTGTTCAAATAAGAAAGGTCTACGATTATTCAAGTCCTTCTGTTCTTTTATCTTTCACAGAAGCAAGCCATGAAACACACGCGAAATCTCCGATAGAAACCAAGTCAACAGAGTGACTGGCGAATATAAACTTTCTTTGGGACAAACCTTCAGTCGATAAAGTGAACACTAACAGTTAACTATGATAAATATTTTTTTTATCTCTAATTTTATAATTAACAGTTATGGCAAACTCTTAGATCACCTATCAAACTTGTGGTACCTTCTTACCCTTGCATTAGTATTTAAAAAGTTTTGAATTTTTTTTCTGGAGTTTTTATCTCCAGTAGACTCTGGCAGAGTTGGAAAAAAAATCATGAAAGCTGTATCGAGATAGTTTAGGATGAATGTTTCTTGGTTAACCTGCCAAATCCAGTATCCGAAGGAGAATGAAAGAATAATTATAGAAATATCACGAGAAAGCAGCGGGAATTTTTATCATTTTATAGTTTGATTTTCTTGTATATATTCGTTAGTGTTAGCAATAGCTCTTAATTGTTATTTTCGATATGGCCACTCGTTTACTAGTTTTTGCAGCTCTTCCTTGTTAACCTCTTTGTATTAAACTTGGCACATAGTTTGATTGTTGGAAGTATCCATCATTATTTTCCTCGACAAATTTTGATCAAGTGTAGGTTAGATTAAGATCGAGATTAAGATTAAGTGGAGCCCTGAAATAAAGAAGTACCTGGGTTACGAAGGTGGTATGTTATTGACGATATGTTCCATACACTTCACAGTAATTAAGGTGAAGAAAGTCATTTGCGTCATTTGCGAGGTTTTACTATTGAGACGTTCGTTGTACTGTAAGCGTGAAAATATCTCCACCTCACTTCGACTGTAGAGGAGAAATAGAAGTGACTTGGTGATCTCCACTGCATGTCAACAAAAGTGAACAAATCACCGACCAAACAAGCTTGGAGGTAAGACCCGATAAAGGTGAGTCCGTGAACTATGAAGCAAGAATTGTATCACATGTACGAAGCAACAGAGGTAAAGACGAGTTGCTGTCTTTGTGCCATCTGGAATAAGAAACAACAATTCCGTCGTTAAATATTCATTAAACAAACCGCCTATCTGTAAGTTTTTCTACACATCTCGGATCGTGAAAATGTTCTTTTATTTTTTATTTCTTAACTGCATCGCTTAGTGGAGGATTGGGTGCCGTTGGGGATGCAACGAAACAAAGAACGGCTGCCAAGGAAACTAGAATAGGCGACAAAACTTGTTGAGACACTGTCTTCAAATGGGGTAAGCTCAGAGAACAAAAGAATCCACACCCATTCACACCTCCATTCAAAGTTAGGTTTACGATGTTTCCTACAGGTAGCTCGAACGTGCTACCTGTAGCCCGTATATGCATTTTCCCCTTTTGAAGTCGCAAAACGTCAAAAAGGTCCTGTAGGGCAAATTGCCTTAATTAATTTTGTCGTCAATTGTAGTTGCTCAAGAAAAATAAGAAAAGGTTTCGAAACATTCATTGTATAAGCATACTGACGATGAAACAGATATCGGTGAATCGGACCAAGAAAACTGGAAAGGACCCTCGTTGGAATGGTTTTACCAAAATAACATTCAAAATATAGTTTACCTTCCGCTATAAACTTCGGAATCCGGGCTTAGTATCACAGGTGCCACACTGGACAGAGAGAATTAAAAAAAGTGAAAAACATGATATTTAGATATCCTTGACAACAAGAATCACACTATTATACTACGCCATAGGGAAGTTCTTTTTTTTGAGAAGTGTCACAGCAGGGAAAAACGCTACCAGAACTACTTCTCATATTACAACATCCTTGTAAAGGTACTGTCAAACCGTGGTGTACCGATGGAAGCCGCTCAAAACCAGTCACTGTAGATGTTTAGCCCAATTGGTTGAGTATCACATTTCGGAGCGGTGGGCCCTTGTGCACATCCCCGCCGAATTAGCATTCAGAAGCTTAAAATGACTGAGGGGGACAGGGAGGAATACACAGCCCTTGTTTCGCTCCGGCCAAAAATTAGACATTCAAGTCTTCTGTGATAAGGACGAAAAACACCGGCCCATTCTCTCGCAGAGACTCCGAATGTCACCGGTTAAATTAATGGAAAGGACGCAAGACAACAATATAACTAACAAATGTTTTCGGGTCTTGGGCACTTTGTTATCTAAGGAGTAAAAAAGATCTTACTTGGGGAGTTTAAGGAGGTTTATTAATTCCTGAGCCCGCATCAGTAAATCTGGATAACACTCTGGGTCAGAAAGAAGCTCCTACAAAAAAGAAAGAAGAAGAATTACCGTCGCGCACAAAATAGGGAGTTTAAGATACGGCGACTACGGACTACGACTACGGATAAACATGCTACTGCGCATGATCAAAACCACGTGACTGTTCGTTTTTCCCGCGTAGTCCTGCGCCTACGGCGAGTTGTTGAGCTGTTTCGCGTAGTCGCGACTACGGAGAACATTTTGCTTGTATTTTGCCGTCTCGGTACTTCAAGAATCTCGTCTTTTCGTGAAAATGTTTTTAATTCACCGGCTTTAAGTGAGAGGGAAGCAAAATATGTAAGTTGTGTCTAATTTCTGCTCAGATTTACGCTTTTAATCCACTGTTGTGACCTCATTTTTATCTAGCTAAGCCCTTACTTGACAAGATTAGCTGTTTATACGCAGAATTCCGATTGACGGCCGAGGAGAAGAGAAATTATGCAGGTGATTTACTTTCGCTTAGCACTTGAAAAGATTCAATGTTTGTTCGAACTGATTATTGTGTCTTTCTACTTGTGTAACCTTTGTTTATGCGAGTTTTTGTATCGCCTTCGCTGAATGAAAATGATGTAAACATCTTCGAGACAATTTTACAATTTCACCCGACGTAATTGCTTCCTTCAAGTATGGAAGAATTTGTTCATTGTTCTAAAGATAAGATCACATGCAAAACTGACTTGCATTTTTGTGAACTGTGATGAAAACAAGAAAATCTTTGGGTGTTGTTTCCCTCTCCGCCTCTTCTCTCGTAGTCTACTGTCAGTAGTGCAGTCTTAACGTTCTATATTTGCACGACTCAACCCAGTGCTACGAACAAAGAACAACGCTCGTCCAGCCGTAGTTCGTAGTCCGTAGTCGCCGTATCTTAAACTCCCTAATATTCCTACGGTAACAGGGCTACTACTCTCAATGATTTTTAAGTATCAATTTTGAAGTCAAATTAATTAAATTATAAGTAAATAAATCTTCACCTACACAAATAAAACAAAAAAACTAACTGGTTTCTGCCGCACAACTTTACTCAAGCACAGAATAGCTCTTTGAATGACATCCTGACATCTTGAAGCAAGCTACAAGAAAGAGCAATTTAACGTCAGCAAGTACTCGGAGCTTATAATATATATTAAATATCACAATTTTGCTTTGAATTCCCTTTTATATCATTACTGCTTAACACAAAATTATGTCAAATGATTTTTGAACAGTTTTTTTTCTCATTAGTATCCTAGGCTTCCCTTTTGAGTGTTCCCTCAGTTCTGTAGTCTGCGGTTGAGGTTTTATCGTAAAATTTTAAGAGAACTCCTCCAGGCTGTTTTTTTTTCTTGTTGCTAGCAATACCATGGGTAAATATGAAAAAAAGAAAATTCTCATTTTGTTTAATAAGTTAAGTATAAACCACACGCTTTACTTTTGTTCCTGTTAAGCTGGCAAGGTCGTTAATCCCGTCACTATAAGTCGAGTCTCTACCTTCAGATCAATCTAAGATGATATGTTGTATTTTTAATCATGGTGAAGACATCTTCCCCCGGGGCGGGGGGACTCCGCATATAAAAGGGGTGGGGATGCTCGTCGTCTCGCTTAGGGGTGTAAATTAAGTTTTGAGAAAGCATTTTCTTTCGCCTGTTTGTTTAAACTTGTTCGCCTTTTAGAAACGTGGGTGGAAGTTCTGAAACTAAAAGCCTTCGTGAAGTGAGATTTTGCTTTCTAAAGCTGTGAAACTGTAACATGAGCTTCAACATAGTAGAGAATATGACAGTCCTTTGCAAAATGCGGAAATATTTAAAAACTACAGTCAACTCTCGCCTTGCGGACACCTCGCCATTACGGACACTCCGCTAATACGGACAGCTGCTGTATCCCCGGAGAAAATTACAGACATTTGACTGAAACAAACTTCCGCTATTACGGACTTGCGGACACCTCTCTCGATCCCAACAGCACAATTTTTTTTTTCTAACTCTCGATATAACGGACATCAATCAGCATCTTTCGACATTTTGTGGTGAATTAAAGGGAGATGCAAGTTCTGTTCTGTTACGATTTGTCTTGTTTGCAAATAAAGTTCTCAGATGCTCTTCATATGCGAAAACTGTACTGTAATCGGTTCTGGAGACAATGTACAATATAAACACGTGCAATTCCTCTAATATCAAGAATTTTTTTCTCCCACTCCGCTATTACGAACTCTCGCTATTACGGACACTAACCCGCGGTCCCGACGGTGTCCTCAATAACGGGAGTTGACTGTATATACCATGACGCCAATAAGGCCTTAGCAGAGCACGAATTGACGTTATATGCCACCATATCCTGTACACCCGTTTAACTTTAGTTCAGTATGTGGTTTCGATAAGTAAAACGTCTGAACTAAAACAGTAGAATCTTGTGGCT